CACACACACACACACACACACACACACACACACACACACACACACACGGAGGGTCGACTGGTAGTGAGCCACACAGAGGTCAGATTAACGCAGACTAATGATAGGGACAGAGCGCTGCAAAAATATGCAAAGTGTAAAACTGCCCTGTGGCCCAGATGAAAGGCATAAAAACAAATATATTCCAGTCAGTTTTCGTTACAGTTCCTCTCTGTCTCGCTCTCCAAGTCAGCCAGAAAGCAGCTGAGTCAGTCGGTCTGCAAACAAGTGACAACATGGAAACTGGAGAACTCAACTCACATGACCCAACGGCATGTGTTGTTGTTTTTTAATGCAGACTTGGGTGTTTTGTTGGAGAAGAACCCAGCTGAGGTAATCCTAAATGATCGCCAAAATAAAAGCTGATATTCTAGACAGATAGTGGCCTCGTATGAAGAAGATCAGATATCGGTGTCGTCTACTGCTGACGTGACGGGGGTTTCTCTTCTGTCGACAGCAATGGAAAAATACTCGATTGTAAAAGCCGCACGGCGTCTCCAAACAGGAGAAAGTCACCCGAGAGCTGCTGGGTCACATTAGGATTTAATTAGTGTGGGTTTCTGTAGTCTTTCCGTCAAATGATGGTGTAAAAGATGCTTTTAACGCACTAATGGCAATGATAATGATGAAATCTGCTAGATTTACTGTATTGATGATGCAACTGATGATTATTTTCATTAATGACGGATTTTCTGAGCATTTTCTTGATAGACAGATTAATCGTTTTGTTTATAAAGTTTGAAGAAAACATTCCTGAGCGCCAGGGCGACTTCTTCAAACGTCTTATTTTTGTCCGACCAACCCCAAAGATGTTTAATTTACAGCAATATAAAACAGAGAAAACCAGCAAACCTCCATCAACTAATCCGTTTGTCAATTAGTCAACTACTCTTCTAGCTTTAGCACGATGTATTGAGCTATACAACAAATATTAGGTACGGGAGCCCGTTAGGATAAAAATACACTATCCTCAATGTGCTGCTATTCCTCAACTGCAATCTGAAGAGGCCCTAAACCTTAATATTGTGTTTTTTATCCCTGTTCTTGAACAGCCAGGCATCAAACCACCATTACGAAACCCTTAAAAAACGCCTCAACGGTGCTTCTCTTCACTCGAGCATCGTTTTTGAGGAGGTATCAAACGGGAGGTCCTTTGAGACGCCGGTTACCGCGAGGTCTTCAATGATTCCCCGCTGGTCCGGCGCCTAAAGTGAGAATTTTCTGCCAATCTGTGAGGCAATTAGAGAGAGAGATCAAGTGAGCACAGATGTGGTCAGCGCTTGGCTCATTAGAGAGAAAGGGGTTGGGAGGAGAACAGCAGCCGTGGCAATTTCTACCAGGAAGCCCTTTAAAAACACAGCTGGGATTACAGGAGAACTGGACATTTTTTGGACACAGTTCAAAAAGGGAGAATTTGAACCGCTGGTGCACTTGCCTGGGACTATCACACTTTGTTGTTTTTATATAATGCAGCTCTTCACTTGACAACTTGATGCCTCGCCTGGAGGCTCAACAGCTATCACGCTGCAATTTCCCCGAGTGACGGATTGTTTTGCGCTTGTAATAATTCCAGTTCTCCGTGTTGCCTTCTGCACCTCTAGAGGACGGGTAAAAAAAAAATCAAAAAAAAAAAAAAATCACACTTTATCCTCAATTCAGCGTTACACATCTCCTCTGGCTGTGGACTAAATTCTGCAGCTGCACTGCTTCCTCCACAGCCTCCTCCTTGTCACACTGAGCCTGCATGCTCGCTGTAGCTACACACTATAAGGAAGCTTAGATGCTTGGCTTCAGCAGCCGTCGATTCTCCCATACGTGCACACCAAAGCGAGCAGTGTCAGTGAGCGGCTGAAGTTCTTGCTTGAGTGATTTCCCATTCTCTCATTTTGCAAAAAAAAAAAAAAAACCCTAAACAAAAACGGGCCTCGTTCCAATTCCGATTCCAATTAAGCGAGGCCTTACAGTGCAGGTGGAGCCCGCTGTAACACAGCCAATTAATACACAAACCCACCGGCTTTCATCATAAATTAACTGGTTCATCCAAAGTTCATCCAAGTTAGATATTCTTATCCTAAAGCGGTCATTCCCAAACATGTTTTTCTAATATTAAGAGCTAGCATACATTCAGTTTGTTTAACTCATTCATAAAGTAATTAACATGCATAAAACATCGGTTTGAAATGCCTGGTTTACCTATCCAACGTAGCATAAGGTGATGTGTTAAAAGGCAGTAGAAATGGTCAGGAACCACAAAAATAAAAGCTTTAGGACACACTGTATAAGTGTTTGAAGTCAGATTCAGCAAACTGTTTGAACTGCACAACATTGACAGAAATGTCTCATCTCAATTTAGTGAATGTGACCTGTTCACGTGTAGGTACTCATTCAGGAGCATTGACCATTAGCATTTCACTCATTATAATGTTACCCAAAAGTAAATAGAAGCCTTAAGTCCTGCTGATGAAACTGAGCGTAGCCGTACTGTGAGAGAAATGAAGTGGGGATGGTCGGACATGAAGTCGGATGCTAAGAAAGTCGTCTCGCTAACCTCAGAGAAAACTAAAAACATGCATGCTGTTATCTAGCTGGAGACAAGCCTCCCACTGACTGACATTCAGGCTATCATAAAGTAGGCAGAATGTATTTTTCCATATCGTGCAGAAGGTTTGATTTCCCGCCAAGTCATACATCATTCTTCTGTCTTGTAAAGAAATGGAATCTGTCCAAAAAACAGACTGGCGTAATACTCCATCTGGGCGGTTTGCCATGAGAGCACACTCAAAATACCAGCTCTAGGATGCCTTTATCACAAACACAGCAAATATGTGCCATATTTCAACTCTCAGAGTCCATGACTGTCACGCTATGAAGCGGACTACAACAGAGAATGGATCCCGGACTAATCACAGAGCCGTCCCTTTACCTCCAGCCAGAAATTCAATCCCATTACACAAAGCTCCCCAATCGTCTCTATTACCAAAGCAGCATAGTGAAGCGGCTAAAGCAACTTCAGCTCTCCCCCCACAGCGCTGCAAGGTGAGCGCTAATAGCAACTGGAGAGCAGAGAAACAATTGGTTGATTATTACCAACACGGAGTACACGTGTGTCCCTTTGATCAGCAGAAACTCACACAGATCCACTTCCATGTTTGTGACACTCGTTTGAGAAGCGATCTACTGTGAGGATGGATGCACCACGGCTTATTATGATTGTATTATTGTTATGTCTGCCTTTACTATGATGTAAAGTTGCAGCGGTGAAGTTTAGCCGAAAACAAGGCAGGACCAGTTTCAACACTGTGGGTTTTACATGACAGCAAACCAAGGACATCCATCGCTCTTAATATGACCACCCTGCTTTTGTCATTTAAGCAAAAAGGCCCCAAAGCACCCGTCTACATGCCACCTCTTTATCCCCATTGTGCAGCGTTCACCTTTGACCAAACGCAGTCTGGATGGAGCTAAAGCCGGCTGCGCCACGATGTAAATCCACTCCCTATAAAAGATGCACAATGGTACCGGTCCTGCAATAAATCTCCAGGAAGAGGCAGCTACAGTAACAGACGCTAACCTCTCCATCACTCTGACAGCGATGCATTATGGGCTGCATTAATCAAGATGCACTCACAGCCATACTATGTGTGCATGCTTAGTGTTTAAAACCCATCTGTATGCAGAGTTGTGGCTGCAGCGTGGCATGCAAAATGTAAGATTATGAACACTTTGGATGGATGGCGTTAATTATAGAAGAATAAAATATAATCATGTGAATTTAAAGATGAGAATCAGATACTTCCTCCACCCTCCTTCTCGCACCACGGGGGGGAAATGGGGAAGTTAATACGCATAAGGAATAACAATATGGATAATAAAACTTACCTCCCCAGCTCGTCGCCAAATGCGTAAAATTCCTCAACATTTTCTTGGTTGAAAACAGTCATGTTGTTGTCCAGGCACTTCCTCCCTTTGCCCCCGACCGCAGGCATATTCCTCCGAAAAAACGGCACCACCACCACCGGGCTTCTTCTTCTTCACAGCGGCAGCATGCCCACCAGCAGAGCTCCAGGTCTGGGCAGGCTTACAGCCAAACGAGCCTCCTCATGGTCAGAGCTGAAAAGAAACACGCGAGCAGAGGTGTGAGGGGGAAGAATACACCGTGAAACCTTCGACTATCAGACATGCACGCGTTTGAATTATTGGGCTATAACAGCTGCCATATTTTTTTATAGAGATAATAGTGATATAACCATAAAGTATGTTACACCGTGCTTAGTTAGAAATGCAAATAATATATATTTATATATATATAATAATATAATATATTTCTTTGAATAATGACCTGGGCAGGTGTTTACCACAGTTTAACTGAAACAAAAAAAAACGTAACACCCGTAGAAACACAAAGAATAAAATAATAAAAAGCCGAACAGTTGAGTTTCTCCCTAAATTAAAAGCACGACTCGCCCCTTGCAGCTGACATGAAATATCCGAGAATCGTGCACATTAACGTTGTTTGAACCGAGCGTCACTGGCTCTCTTTCTTTATACCAAACTGACTCACATTGTATCAATTCCATGTAAAGTGTCTTACATTTTTTGTACCGGTGTGCGTCCTCGCTGCCAAAACGTATCCGAGATTTCATGCGTTTTCGTGGGCGCCCGTGACCCCGGTTTTGTCTCGCGAAAGACCAAAAAAAAATGCTGTCGTGAACGGGAGAAATCAACGTTAAACAATGTGAGGCAAGTCTGGTCCTGGTGCTGCGTTCATGGTTTGTGGGGAATTGGGGTATTACACGTTGGAGCGCTTCTAGTTCTATGTTTTTTTTTTCGTATACTAAACAACGTCAACACACAATAATCACCAGTGGGAAAAAAACCAATGTCCTGCTGTATTATATATACACTGGCTTTGCTTGCTTCAAGAAATTGTAGCTTTATCGAGGAAGCCGTAATTACCGTTTTTTGACTTGCCTTAAACGCAGCATCGTTGTGTGTCGGTTGGAGGAGCTGCTCTTCGGTCGCAGGAGGGCAGCAAAGCTTTCACTTTTATTTTAATCACAGTTTAAAAGCAGATACTTTTGTGCTGAACATTCTTTCTTGTCACTAAAATGTGAATTGTAATTCAGTTCTTTATTTTTTTTATTTTGGAAAATATCATATCCATAAAGCAAAACTATCCAAATCATTTCATAATGAATACAAGATATCACAGCAATACTGCATGCAATATCAATAGTTATACAAATATTTTTTTTACTTATTAAAATTTAAGATAATCAACAAATGTTAGAGACCGTGAAATCCCAGCATTATGACGTATTCATTCCCACACACAATGTATGAATTACACAAACATTCATCTCGCATTTGTATTGTATTTAATTAGATTTTCCATTTTGCATCCTTTAGTTCATGAATATAACTTCTTGTTTTTATAGATTTGATCGATAAAGTTTATTTATAAAGTTTGTCCAACAGAAAACTGTCTTATATTTGATAGAAATTCTGGCTTCGTAGGGATGAGTTATATTTGCCAGAATAGAGCCGCAATGTTTATTTTCAAGAATTTATTTTGGCCTTGTTAGACAAGGCGCTAACCCCTAGCCCTTTAGCTTTTAACTTCACTTTTTCACATTAAAGTTAAGAATGGCATCACATGTTTGAACTTTAGTCTCCAAAACAAATACTTCTCTAAATGTTTTTGAAGGAAAAAAAAAAGATGCAGTGATTTTTTGAGTTTTTAAGCGAAACATTTCACAAACTAAATGATTATGAACAAAGACGGAGGGTCTGTGTACATCTTTAAGCTTTTAATGTATCTTGTACTGTATAAATCATATTATTAGGAACACTTTCTTTTGGTTTTAGGCCTTTTTAGGCCTTCTTATGTAAACTAAATTAAACTAGTAACCAGATTTGTTGGTTTGGACAATCCTGGAAGCTTTTAGCTCACAACATCACACATCACAGAGTCATAACATCCCATTTCAGTGGCTTCACATAGTTCAACCAAGCTTAGTGTGGTGGAAAAAAAAAAGTCAGATGATCTCAGGGTGTGAGGATAAATGAGCCATCCATTTATCTATCTAAGCAGTTTATCCTCATTGGGGCTGCGGGGGGCTGGAGCCTTTCCCAGCATGCATTGGGAAAGAGGTAGGGAACACCCTGTCAAATGAACTGAGAAACCAACCTTACGAATGAGAGCGGGAGGCCCCTACAAACCTCTCGCTCTCTGACACTCATTGTGACTTTGATTCGTGTTGTTCGTGCTCGTTCAAGGTGAAGTGTGAAACGGTGTTAACATCATATCTGCTCTGCTCTGCTCCCCTTCAGACGGCTCACTGTACAGATATGAGATCAACGGTACAACCGTCCAGAGCTGTGGATTTTATTACTTTTAGATTGTTTAGTCCGTTAAATGTCCAGAAACCAAAGAGAAGTATTCAGATATTTTACTCAAATAAAAGCAGCAGCACTGTCAAATAAAAGTTCTCCATTACAAGTAAAAGCCTAAGTATTGTTAGCAACATGTACAAGAGGTGAAATAGAAAAAAGCCCTTCTGACTGAGAACAATATCATAATATTGAAATAAAGTTACTTGCACGTAGTGTTTTTACTGCTGTAGTTGGTCTAATTCGAGCGAATATGTATCATTGGGTAGGTTAATATTTAACAAGAAAAAAAAAATATATATATATATATATATATATAAAGTACAATATTTCCCTCTGAAACGTAGTGGAGTACAAGTTGTAAGAGGCAAGAAATGGAAATGCTCAAGTAAAGTACCTCAAATTTGTACTTACAGGTTTTGTGTTTGCTCCTACAGAAGGCCGTATGATAAAATTAAAAAGATATATACCGTATATATATATATATATGTATATATATATATATATATATATATGTATATATATATATATATATATATATTATTAAAGACAGCAGTGTTTGGTACAAAGTATCAGTGTGTTGTTGCTGCTGCTTTGAAAGAGTAATCCAGATGTTGCATGTGTGTATCCTTTTGTTGCAAAAATGCCATTTTGAAAAAGGACAAGTAGGTTTTCATTTTGACGTAGACGTTGGATGTTTATCTCCAAGTGTTCTGTCGTATTTGGTTTGTGTTATCCTATTCACCGGTAATGTCTCCCCTTAACTGAAGACAACATGAACATACAGTACTTGCTTGTACTGTAAACCAAATACAGTATATTGTAGATAATGTCGACCTCCTTGCTGTGAACATTAAAGAGCAAACCTGAATCCTACTCAGGTGATTCCCAGGTGATCTAATTGGTTACAGGTGTTTTTCACAGGTGCATTCTGGGAGCAGGTGATTAATGATCAAGTGTTGTATTTCAACGGCATCGTTTAGCAAACAACACACGCAGGCTTTTCATTGTGAATGGTGTGTTTAATGTAGATATGTGTAGCTATTTACATAAAGTGCGTTAAGGTTTAGCAGTAGTGAGGTTTCAATAATTATGTCACAAGTACCAGTTTTTGTGTCTTGGCAAATGCAAAACATTGTGTTCCAGCACAATGACATTCTTTCAATATTACACAGTAATAATAGGAAACATGAGGCTGGTGTCGGGTGGTTTTTGGCTGCTGTTTAAAGGTTGTTACACCATCTGCTGGTGACGAGCTGCACTCATCTGACTGTCTCGTTGCTCTGCCAGAGATTATGGTTTAATTAGACAAAGATTATGTCACAAATACACATCATAGTTTCTAAATATTACAAACCGTATTTAATCTTCTGATTTCATCGTAAAACTAAATCCCCTATTAAATAACTGATGTCTACATTCATACTCACGTATCTTCTTTATTCTACTGACAGACTTTAGATTTTATTTATGTAATCATCATTAATGTTGCCTCATAATAAAACTCTACCTTTAGCATATCTTTTCTCTTTCCAGCTCTGTTAGAGATTAACACACGGGTGGATACAGATACGTGAAAGTCATTTTACGCCTTTCTTTTTAGCGACATTTTACAGATTATCAAGAACTGCAAAGTGCATTTCACTTTATTTATTTATGCTGGAGATGAAGAGAGAATAATTATTGTCCAAAGCTTCCCGCTGACTCTCTCTTTACAGATTATAATACAAAGTAACTGCTAGAGAAATAAAGCCTGTGGTGCAGATTACTTTTTCTAAAAGCAGAGCTATTATACTCGGTTATCAAACATTTAAAATTGCTCCACCAAGTTTAATGTGTGCACAACAGAGTCCTGCAGGGAAACAAACATAGCAGATTAGGAGCAAACTAAATTCTGATTAGCACATTGGTGTTTTAACTGTTTGACTTTGAAGAGAAAATGCAAACAGCAGTCAATTAATTAAATGTTTCAAGCATTTCTGAAAGATGAATAATGCTTCTGGGTCTCAATAAAGCCACTACAGTTAAACATTTTGATTTCAGAGTTTTAGAAACACCATTGAATTACAACAACAGAGAAAAACTTGAGATGCCTTCATAAAGAATTGCATCTCATTCTTAATTGAAAAAAGGTAAAAAACAATAAAAATAACAAAAACAGCAAGACAAGACATCGTTGATCTTTTAGATCTTTTTTAATGCAGTAAAATCTTTGAGTACAAAACGATACAAAATGTTTGTCAGAAAGAGCGGCGATATAAAATGGATTATCTTTTTGTCATATTTGAGAAACCATTTCAGTCTTCAGGGATATAGATATGTAATGACAGTAATATATTTCATAAATATCTTACGTTCTCATTATTGCTACAATTTACTTTGAAAGGTACCACAGGAAAACAGGAGAAAGACCTGAGTGGGCCGGGTAGTGGCCACTCTGAATGAACTCATTCTCATCGATAGTTCAGACAAAGCTCTGATTAATGGGACTCAGAGGCTCATTTCACCACATTTGAAAAAAAACCTACGATTTGGACAAAATTTGTGAAGCTGCCGCCTCCTGTGATCATGTGTGTAAACAGCGCTCGCAGGTTGCTTTTGGTGAAACGGGCCCCAGTACGATGAAAGTGTTAACACCTGAAACTACAGCCACCAGAGGTTTCCTCAAAACACTGAAGACAAACAAGAACACCTGATGTAAAAAAAAAGAATGAACACTTGGGTAATATTTAATTATTGCAGCAACGGTCTTACAAACATGCAGTTAATGTTCCTTCTGCTTATTCAAACTTTTGACATATTTTTATATAAAACCTTACAGTAAAATAACAACTGGAACAAACCAGCTTCTCCACACTGACCTCCAGGTGAATGAAGCTCTAGTTCAGGCAGGAAGAATATTAAGCCTGTGGTTTGTCTCTCAGACATCCTGCCTCTCATGACACTCACTCATAATTTAAAAATCTTTGGCTCACCACCAGGGTTAGTGGGCTACCTAGTGGGCTAGTACATTCAAGTCTGGGCAACAAGTGACTGAATCGCATCATGTAAGTGCATCTTCATGGATACCACGAGACATGGAAAATATGGGCGGCTATCAAATATTACTATTGTGTCATTTAAAAACTAATTCTATCCGTCGTATGTTTTAAACCTTCACACGCCAAGTTATATATGAAAGACCAGCTGTCATCTTCAGGTTGTAGTAAAACAACAAACATGACATTTCAAAATAACACCTGACTTTAAAAAGATACGCTTCACGTAACAGATATTGCTAATCCTTGAATATTTTTGCATAAAACATATTTTTTAACATCCCTTTCTTCCATCAAACGTCGTTGCCACTGTTCCTGTGATGCATTATACAGGAACATCCTTTTCTTTTAATATCAAGGCATCTTCTGTGATTCGTTTCACGTTAGCTCGTAGGTTCAGCGAGCTTAAGAGAGAAAGATGTTGGAAACCAGCGAGAAACAGCCGAGATAAACCGCTTTGTTGTTAGAAGAAATACGGCTAACGACCGAGTTGATTGTCAGATAAACAGCAGCGAGCTTGTGGCAAAAGAAAATACATGATTTTGAAATAACCACTACGCATGATGTGATGCAGTATCTGATAATCTGATTTTAAAATGGGGGTATAAAATCCTTCTGACTTATGCTGCACTGTTGAAAGTTCATGGGGACAGTTTAGTCACTGCACTGAAAACTGCACCGAAGACGATGAAGTGTCTTCTCAAGGACGTGTGGACACACGTGAACCCAGGCATGGATTAAAGGATCACCGCGTCGTACATTGCAGTGTGTGTAGATAGATGTGGTCGATTCTTCCTCCAGCAAACAGCTCGGACAACGTTTTCAAGTCTGTATGGTGGGCGTAGTCCATTTCTCTTGCTGTTTGATGAAGTGGAAATGTGCATTCTTCTTTTCATCCGTGTGGATGCTGAATGTGGTCACTCGAGGTGAATTTAAGACACATTTCGGTGTATTTTAACTACAAATGCTCCAAACTGGATCTAGACGTGATCTGGTTTTATCCACGTACGATTCAGACCTTCACACTGAGGCACGTCGGCTGTCCTCGACCAAACACATGCTAGGTCGACTAACACTAACACTATTCAATTACTTGATTTAATCTACAAATCTGTAAAACTGATTTTCTCCACAAAGAATCACACAAAAGCACCAGTTAAAATGTTGTGTTTACCAGAGATGTGCTCATCAATTACTTGGAAATAAGTCAAAAAGCATTAAAAACAACAAATCAACTAAACAAATCTGAGTCAGCTGAGACCAAAACGACCGATTACTCGTCTAAGAGGGAGCAGCTCTTTTTAAGTGTGAATCAAAAATAGGATCCGCTCCACAGAAAGGATGTTTTTTTCTCCTAAATTCAGTTAAATGACATATTTTCAGGAAACAGACGGTGATGAAACAAAACATGTAAGGAGAGAAAATGCCCAACAAAAGCTGGATGGGCCTTTGATGCCGAATCCTGCAAATACATTTTTTCATAACTTCTTCTCCTCTCGGCCACCGAGTTTACGGCACATTCGTGATCTTTCAAACATTCTCCCGCTGTCATGCGACACTGACAAAGTGCTAACAGCTAACAGCCAGACAGGATAATAAAATGCTTTTAAAAAAACACTTAAAAGTACAACATTTAAATATCCTTTGGAAAATGGCTTTGCTGGTTGTGTCCTCTGTACAAAGGCCTGCTGTGCATGTGGACTCCCAGGGAAAAGGAAGTCTGGGTAGCCTGTAAACATGATGACGCTTTGTCCTCCTCGTCAAGCCAAAATGTTTCCCTTCTGTGGTAGTTCCTACCTGAAAGTGAATCACCTCTCTGAACCGTTTCAGAAAGATGTCATCTGTATGAGGCATGTTTCACATGAACACTCATGATCTAAAGGAAGAGATCCCTCAGGAGTGGCGACACATTTAGCTGTGGTTCCCTTTGATAAAACTATTACAAAACAAAATGCTTGAAGCACAAGTCGTGAACTTTTCCAACCTCGTCTTGGGCGTCCGAGCAGACGAGATGGATCACGAACCATCTTTGTCTGGAAAGCCCGAGCAAGTTCTTCATGGTAACAGATGTACAGATGGGAGCTTTTAAACTGTCCAGCTGGCATTGTTCCTTCTCCCAGATCGTCCACCTTGAAGTTAACCAGCTGTCCGTCAGAGGGCGGGATCTCTGATGGTCCTGTACATCTGCAGCGACGTTACCTCCACATCCTGGACCTTGGCGTTCTGGGGGCGGCCCGTCGGGCTGTAACCGGCCGATCGTCCCATGGGGCTGAAGCTCGTGGTGGTGCGACCCACGTGCACGACACCTGAAGAGCGCGACAAGGCGGGACGCCGCAGAAACCGGCCCGACATCACCAGGTCCCCGTAGCCCGGCGCGTGCGAGAAGGCGTAGCCTGAACGGCGGGAGCTGGTGCGGCGGATGCGGCTGCGTCGAGGCGGAGGGGGAGGGGTGGCTTTGGCCTGTCGCACCTTGAACATCACCTGAAAGTTTGGGCAGACAGTGACGTTATCAGTCATATTTCTATTATTATTACTACTGCTACCTTTACTGTTATTATTATCATTCTATTATGTCCATATTTGTATTAGTATTAGTAGTCATATTTCTATTATTATTAGACAACTATTACTGCAGTACTTTGACACTGACGAAAACTTAAAAACATGAAGATTCTCAGGCAGGTTCTGGAGTTATAAGAAACGTCTTTTCTTTCTGTGATAACTGAGCAGATCTATGGATTTTTAATTGCGATTGTAAAAGTCACACTGACAGAGGAGACCAGCCTCTGCACAACTTCTTGAAAAATCAAAAAAGAGCAGTTTTATCTTAGCGAGCACGCAGAGTTGAGCGTCGAGTGTAGAGAAGTGTACCTTGTCGTTGATGGTGGGGCAGAGCTGAATAAACAGGAAGCGGTAGGTAACAACAGGAAGGACACACAGGATGGAGGTGAGGAGGATCGTCAGCCAGATGTTGGGCTGGTTCAGAGAGTTTTGGGCTGTTCCTGGAAAAACACACACACACACTGTACGTTTGTCGAGGTCTTCTATTGACTTCTATAGTTTAACCTTCACCTTCATCACTGCAAACAAAAACTTCCTGGTTCATGTTTCCGTGGATTATATACAAATATATTTCATGGGATATCTAAGAATCACACCATATTAACGTTGGTAGGTGTAGCGAGGAGCCTGATCAGTGTGGACGCTCATGTTGTTATCTGTAGCGTTCTTGGTGTGGAAGGCCCTTACGAGTCTCATTAATGCCATTTTTCTAAACTCTTCTGGTACACAAACATTTTGGTTTGCATTAAAAAAATAACAACTACTGATCACAGGACCTTGGTGACAAACTACAGGTGACAGTTTGGTTGGCCTTCTGCACAGACAGCAGTGATCACGGCAAGTGTTGCTATTTGGTTTAGCTGTAAACCAGATATTTTGCCTGTGCAAACACACCAAACCCAAGCATAATTCAACTCATTTGAATTATGTGGCCACCTTTATTCTGACAAAGCCTCGTATAAAAGAATGAACAAAGCTTTTCTTAAGAGCAGACATGCATGTGAACACCGACGGAAACGTGGAAACACATCTTTATGGCGAGTTTATGAGGTTAACACTCACCTATGAAAGGGAAGGCTGACGGAATCATGAGAAACATGCCGTTACTGTACATGGTGAACGTGACAGCGAAGTACATGGCCAGACTGCCCAACACGAAGAAAGTGTTCACCGCCGTCCAGTAAGACATCTCAAACCCCAACTGCAGACGTGGAGAGAAAACAAACAAATATGAGTCATTCTGTTTTTTTTATTCTAAGTCTGAAACAAAAGAGAAGAAAGATTTAAAAAAAGGTTTTCCTCGTACCTGGATGGTGACGGCAAACAGCAGACACGTCTGTGTGAGGAGGGCGAAGGACTGGTAGTCGGCGACGTCCTTCCCGTCGTTCCTCACGGTGTCGTGCATGGCTGCGTAGGGGATGAAGAAGAGCACCAAGGAGCTGTAGCCGCTGTGGAGGGCGCACTTGAAGAAGGCCTTCTTGCTGAAGTACAAGTTGAGTTGACCGGGAACGTAGAGCTTAGGATGCTGGAAACTCCACGCGTCGTTCACATCCTGACCAGCAGAGAGAGACAAAGAGGCTGTGTGTTTATGTTTTCTGCTCCGTCAACTCTATTCCTGGTCTAAAAGGTGATCATATAAAGTGTATTTTACCTGATCAAACAGACTCATTCCCAGTACAGGTAGTGCCGTGTACACCAGGTTGTAGAGTGTTATGAACCACTCATCATACACCGTCTGAAAAGCAAAGTCACAACTATTTTAACAACTTCTACAACAAGTCTCAAATAACAGTTGTGGAAAAAGTACTGAGTATCAGTATAACAATATAAAAATACTTCCTTACAAAACAGGCCAGCATTTAAAATCCTACTTTCAGTCCCAGTGAAATGCCAATATATACATCTTTCCAGTTTAAATCCTGTGTCCACGTCTTAATTCATTGTTTTATTTATCTTTTGTTATATGCAAAAGTAAATGAATGTTTCTCAGGTCAGACTAAATAAGGAAATTGAATCATTCAGTCCAACTATAAGGCCGGCCCCTTCGTATCTTCCTCTAACCCTCATTCCCCTTATCACAGTCCTTTCTTTTCCTCCCTCCTCCCTCCATCGGACTTCCCTCTCTCACCTGCGCAGAGAAGCCGCAGAAGAAGGCGTACCAGAAATGGATGAAGGTGAAGGTGAAGTTCTTGTAGAAGAAGTAGCGCAGGAACTTGCACATGCGCAGGTAGGACCAGCGGCCGTGCACCAGCAGGAGGCGCTGCAGGAAGCGGAACTGGGCGAAGGAGTAGTCGCTGGACAGCACGGCCTGCATGCCCTCCTGACCTGAGATGCCAACTCCTATATGAGCCGCTGGGAGGACAAACAGAAGAAGAAGAAAAGGGTGTTTGAATTTCTCTAAATCCAAAAACTGCAAGAGTAAAAAGTCTTAATATTTGCTGTTTGTGAACAAAATTTCAGTCATTTTGTTTCTGGTTTCAGCAACGACCTATACATCCTAATCCTACAATTTAAAACTGCATTAATCCATTTGTGGCCACTAGGGGGGACGTCTGAGTCGATAAACAGATTCTCAGAATAGCTGCCAAATAACTGTAACAATCGAATAATCTATAAATTGACCTTTGATCATGCTGACGTCGTTGGCTCCGTCTCCTATCGCCAGTGTGACCGCCTGCTTGTACTTCTTGACCAGCTCGACCACCTGAGCCTTCTGCAGAGGAGTGACCCTGCAGCAGATCACGGCCTTACACATGCACGCCGTCCTCAGGAAATCCAGCTCCATGCTGCACTCCAGGGCGTACGCCTGAGGGAACAGGGGGGGGGGGGGAATAGGGAAGTGATGAGAGGCGGGAATTATACAAGAGCTGAAAACGTGCCGACCGTCATCTATCGTGGGTGATACACTGACTTTGGGTAATTACCTCATACATCCCCACTTCAAAACACACAAACTATCCCTTTAAGTAATTGGTAACACAAGTCAGTGAGGGCAGTAAGAGCATGCGTTGTAATTAGGAGACATCTCACGGCGTACCAGGCTGTGTCCGTTGATGACCAGGCCGTAGTCTCCGTTTACCACCTCGTCTGGGATCACTTTCACACCTTTACCCAGAGTCCTCTCTGGCAGTAACACAGAATCCTCCTCTGGTTTCATGGAGGTCAGTGCATTTCTGAAAATATGTTAAAAGAAAAATGGATTGATGCATGGAAACATTTCATAATCAGCTGAGTTTCCTCATGTTCAGTGTAAACGTGCTCTGACCTCAGTTCCTGTCTGACATCCTCCGGTGAGTTTCCCGAGACGACGAAGACCTCGTTCATCTCCTCCCGCAGTAAGTTGCACGAGTACCCGATGTTTTCTGCAGTTTCTGCAACACAAATACTCAACATCAGTCAGCAGACAATGATTCTGCATGGCGTTCGTTACCTGATTCGTTACTTATGACACTGATGTAAAGGTGACATTTGTAAAGCTACAACAAGATAAATTAAGTACAGATGTGCGTCGACAGATAAGAGTTGATGCGAAGATGCAGAAGGCCTGAGCAGCTGTTGTATGTTTTGCTCATCATATTTGGAGTTGTGTACCTTGCTTGTCACCAGTCAAAACCCAGATTTTGATGTCGGCTTTGGACAGCTGCTCGATCGTCTGAGGTACTCCGTCTTGTAACTTGTCTTCTATGGCTGTTGCTCCAAGCAGCTGGACACAAACATTCAGATACATAACCGACATTCAAATATATAAAAATCCTTTTTTTACAGAGATTAACGTCAGCTCTTTTTCCTACCAGCAGATCCTTCTCGATCTCCTCGTACAGCTCGTCCAGTTTGCCCTCCCGGTCGTCCAGCGCTGTGCTGACCTCATGGTGGCGCTGTTTCCACTGGTTGAAATACGCCTCATCCAGATCCTTGTAGGCCAGCGCCAGAGTCCGCAGGCCCTCCCCTGCAAACTCCTGCACATCGGCATGCACATACTTATATAGATGAAGGCTTCACATGCAGGTTTACATGTAAACATACACCACAAACATCCTGGAAGAACCAACACACACACGCACACACACACACACACACACACACACACACACACACACACACACAC